GGTGGGGGGGGGGGGGGGGGTGAGGGGAGAGAAAGCGATTTTGGGGAGACCCCCAGATTTTGGGAGGGGGAGGGTCCAACCCCAGGACCCCCCAAAAAACCCCAAAAACCCCAAAAAAACCCAAAAAACCCCAAAAAACCCCAAATCTCACCTGGTGGTTTGTGTCGGGTCCATTGGTTTCTGTGTCTGGGGGGGGAGGGGACACTCAGGGGGGGTCCCCAAATCCCGCCGGGACCCCCCCAAATCCCAGAATTTTTCCAAATTTCCCCAAATTTCTCCTACCTGGGCGCTCCCCCGGCAGCTCCTTCTCCAGCTCCAGGGGTTTAGACATCCTCAGTTCTGGGGGGAGAAATCAAATCACCCCAAAATCACCCCAAAATCACCCAAAATTACCCCAAAATTACCCAAAATCACCCAAAATTACCCCAAATTACCCAAAATCACCCCAAATCACCCCAAATTACCCCAAAATCAACCAAAATCACCCCAAAATTACCCCAAAATCACCCCAAAATCACCCAAAATTACCCAAAATCACCCCAAATTACCCCAAAATCAACCAAAATTACCCAAAATCACCCAAAAGTACCCAAAATCACCCAAAATTACCCCAAATTACCCAAAATTACCCCAAAATTACCCAAAATCACCCCAAATTACCCCAAAATCAACCAAAATTACCCAAAATCACCCAAAAGAACCCAAAATCACCCAAAATTACCCCAAATTACCCAAAATTACCCCAAAATTACCCAAAATCACCCCAAATTACCCCAAAATCAACCAAAATTACCCAAAATCACCCAAAAGAACCCAAAATCACCCAAAATTACCCCAAATTACCCAAAATTACCCCAAAATTACCCAAAATCACCCAAAATCCCCCCAAAATTACCCGAAATTACCCCCAAATCAACCTGGAATTATTTCAACCCCCAAATCTCTCAGGATCAGCGTAAAAACCACCTCGAAATGACCCAAAATCGTCCGAAATTCACCCCAAAATCAACCTGGAATCGTTTCAACCCCAAAATCCCTCAGGGTCACCCCAAAATCAGCGGAAATTACCCCGGAATGGCCCAAAATCATTCAAAATTACCCCGGAATGACCCAAAATCATTCAAAATTACCCCGGAACGACCCCGAAATTCACCCCCAAATCAACCTGGAATCGTTTCAACCCCAAATTCTCTCGGGGTCACCCCAAAATGACCCAAAAATCGCCCCCCAAATCACCTCGAGCCGCCCCAAAACGCCTCCAAATCGCCCCAAAATCAGCCGAAATCGCCCAGAATTGAAACAAACCTCCCAGAAAAGCCCCAAATCCCCCCCAAAATCGCCCTCAACGGACCCGAAATCGCCCCAAAATTCACCCCAAAACCCCCCAAAATCCCCAAATCCCCCCGGTTACCTGGGGGGGGAGGGGGTTTAACCCCTTCCGGGGGCGTTTTTTGGGGGGATTTTGGGGTTTTTTGGGGTTTTTTGGGGTCCGGCGGCTCCAGAAGCTCCGGGTAGCGAGTGGGGGATGGGGGAGGGGTCCCGGGGGTGTCACCCCCTCCCCTCCCCCCCCTCATTTGCATGAGGCTGAGTCACCCCCCCGGGTGGGGGAGGGGAAGGGACCCCCTGCCCCTCCCCCCACTTTCACTTCTCCTTTCGCCGTTTTTGTGTTTTTTTTTTTTTTAATTAAAATAAATGAATTAATTTTTTTAAAAAATGAAGAATTTACCGAAAACTCCCCAAAATTCGGCGCGGAGGAGCCTCCCCCCCCCCCCCCCCCCCCC